AAAAAAATCTTAAATTTGTGTATAAAATTATTTTATGAAAGAACGTGTGGTTAAAAATGATTTTTGAAGAAATAGGGACCAAACATAGTCTAAGTCCATGTTTGACCTCTATTTTTTAACATTCATTTTTTATCATACTCATTTTTAACCATACATTTTTCAGTAAATAATTTCATGATGATTCATAGATTTCTCTACTTTTCAACTACAAGTTACCCAAAAAAAAAAATCATTTTTCAAAGCTTGTTAAATAAGTATTTAATAATTCTAAAATCTAGAATTTATATGTTATTACCAAAAATAGAATATAATATTTTTTTTGTGCGAGAGTTAGTGAATATCAGTGTTAAAAATGGGAAGGAAGCTCATTTGTCAGAAAGAGTTTGACACTCTTCTTGATCGACACCCACATGCACATGGGACTTACGTGGTATCCGTCTGAATAAAAAATTTCAAAAAAAATGTCTATTATGAGTGTACTGTGAGAAAGGGGCTCTAGCAGCCTAGCATGATTCAAAAAATGAAAAAAATAGATAAAAATTTCAAATCAAGGCTGATGTGCATCCATCCCAGCCCCCTGTTTTTGAGCTTATTTTTTGTCCTGTTTAAATCGCATGATTCAAAACATGAAAAGATCAAGATTCAAAATCCGAACGTGGCCGAAAAAATCTATTGAGTGTGGACGTGGAATGGACCCACCACCTTAATATTCTGGAAATGGAATTATAGAATACTCAAATTTCTCATTCTAATATCAGTATAAAACGCAACGAATTAGACTAAGATAATGTTAAAAAAAGTAGGTTAGCCACCCTTTGAGTATTACCGCTCGTAAAAAGTCAAACATTGAAAAGGTCTGGCCCAAGTTTTTAAAAAAATAAAAAATAACGTGTTTTTCAGTTTTTAATTATGATGATTTTGAAATGAACAACTGAGTTTAATAGTGATTTCATTCATTATTTTTGTGATATATAAACCTACCTTAAAAACTAGACAAAGATTAGTATAAATTTCGATTCTTAAATGCTAAAAATTGAAGTCGTTAATTAAAAAAATGGAAGTTTATGATATACGTTTTGAATAGTAGGATTTGATAGAATTAAATATAACTTTGAAAAATAGGACGAATTTTATCTGTTGTTTCATATTATACGTTCAATTTACTGTACTGAATATATTTAAAGTAATAAGTGTTTACACGAGAATTAAACAGTGTATAATCTCATATTATGATAAAAAAAAAAAGAAGGAAAATAAATGGAGGTGACGTGTAATTAATAGATGGATCAATTTACAGCAAGCATAAAAATTAAATTAAATTTACAAAAAAAAAAAACCTCTTGTACAGT